TAGTTATTTATCATGTGATTTTTGTTATAAAGCAAGTCATCATTAATGTGCAAATTTACTTCTGGGCTTTTGTTGTTCTCTTAATCCCCCCTTATGCAAATACATTACTTTTATAATTATTCTAGCTTTAAAGTACATCCTGCTATCTGGTATGAAAAATTACTGTTCCTCCTCCTTTTCCTCTTGATCTGCTTCTCGTCTTCCTTTCTCCTCCAAAGATGTTTAGCTTTTCTTAGATGTTCATAATTCCCCATGCATTTTAGAATTGACGTGAAAGATTCCATTTCATAATTAGTTGTCTTCGATATTCTTAGTAAATTTTAAATTATTTCTTTTAAAATATTTTATACATTTTCTTTGCCAGACTAATTTCCTGGAGTTTTAAAAGTCATATTTTGATTGGTTGCTGTCAGTTGATAGAAAGAATATTGATTTGTATTTGCTGATCTTGTGTTCAACATGCTTGTATAAATCAGTATGTCAGCAAGAAATAGATGGAACACTTAGATTAGGATAATTTGAGAAGAGTTTAGTCAAGGGGCTATTTATAGAGGTGTGAGCAGGGTATATGAAATCATAAGAGACAATGTGGCAGCCTGCAGCTGGTAGTGGCTGGACTCCACTACCCATTCTCTACCTGAAGAGTCAGAGGAGAGAGAAATGACTGAACCTGGAGACAGGGTGGTCCCTATGAGAGTCTGCCTGACAAGTGTTAAGACATTGGTGGAGATCAGCTGGCCAGTGGTGAAGCAGAGTTGGAGGTATAATCCCCTGGCCTCGCTTTCTCCTGATCCATCTCCTGCCTTTGCCCTGCTCTCCCTCTCACCACTGGTCAACTCCATCTGAAGCTCACAGAAGTTGGTCTCACAGGGCACAGAAAGTGGAGAAGGGTGGAGAGTGAGCGTGGAAGTGCAAATGGAAGATATCTCACCTATTGCTTACTTCTGCTGTCTATTGATCCTGTTGTGTTTTCTAGAGAGACATCTGTGCCATCATCAAAGGATTTTCTCCTAAACACATTTGTTTTTCTTGTTTTATTTCACTGACTAGGTCCTCCTGTATAATGTGAGCTAAAAATTGTCATAGTGAGTCACTTTGTCTTGTTTCTGACTTCAATGGGACTACTGCTAAAATTCACCAGTAAGTAGGACTTCTGTGTTAATATGGCTTTTGTTTTAGATACTTTTTGTCAAGTTAGGTTAGCCACATTTTCCTCCTAGGTAAGTATTTTTTGTTGTTGTTGTTTAAAAAATCACGAATGGATTGTGGTATTCTAATGAATACATTTTAATACCACTATTAAACATATTTCTCATTTAATGTGTTAATGTGATAAATTCCATTATTATATTTTTGTGTGTGAAAAAACACTTGCATTGTTGGGATAAATTCCACTTTGTTATAATGCATTTTAAAAATACATGCTGCCGGTTTTGATTTGTTAATATTTCATGTAGGATAGTCACATCCATATTCATAAGTGAGATTGGCTATAATTTTCTTAATGATTCTATTTTTGAATTAAGTTTATACTAGCCTAATGAAATAAGATATGCATTTTTTTATTGTAAATTTTGAATAAAATATGAATTAGCTGTTATTTGAAGGTTTGATAAAACTCTTTGACGTGTGTTTTGGCTTGGAAATTGTATGTTTTTGACTGTCTGTACAATTTGTTTAATAGTTATACATGAATTTAAGATTTAATATATTTTTGAGTCAATTAACATTTTATTATATTTTTAAAGTTATTAACACAAAATTATTTGGAATACACTTTTATAATGTCATTTTTAATTCTATTTATAGTTATGGCATAATTTACGTTCCTTATATTATTTGTGTATGTCTGCTTTCTTTCTTTTACTTTTCTTCCCTGATTAACCTTGCCAGAGGTTCATTTATTTTATTCATTCATTTCCTTCTTCCTTCTTTCTTTGTATTTTTCCTTTTTTCTGATATTCCAATTAATTATCTTTTAGGTTTGTCAGGAATCTCTATAATTTTCTTTGTTTTATTTTATAAATGTTTCCCTTACCTCTGTTTGAGTTCCCAATATTATCTCTAGATTTACCACTTTCTTTGTAAACTTAAAACCTATATTATTAATTTTTAATATTTGTTTTTTAAAATATATAAATGTAAGATTTTAAATTTTCTTCTAAGAACTCCTTAGATGCTGGATGCCAAAAAGAATTAGTTATACAAACGTGACTACAACTACAACTATAATGTCCAGTATATGTAGATATATATTGCTCTCATTGTAATTCAGTTTTAAATATTTAACTTTCTATGTTGACATTTTTCAGCAATATTGTATTTTCAATTTGTCATGGTGTTTTCTTTTCTCTTTTTCCTCCTTTCCTGCTTTTATGGAATAGGTCATTTTCTTGTTTCTATTTCTTCTTCTAGTGGGTTGAAAATTATACATTTTACTGCTAATCTTTTGGTGCTCACTCCACAATTTTTTATCATTCATACTTTAGTTAACACAATCCAAGATTAATCAATATCCTTATCTTCCTTCTGAATATCTTTCTTGTTATTGGTATTTAGTAATTTAATCTACTTTGCTTTTCAATTCTCCCAAATAGATTTTTATTTTCGTTGGTCTTTCTAACAGTTAATGCTAATTTAAATTTATCAAAATGTTTTGTCCTTTCTTTCTCCTCCATTGATTTTATACCAGCTGTTTTAAATATATCATATCAAACAAGGTTACAAGGCTGATTTCTGGAGGAGTGTGCACCGTTTACACTTGTACTTGATATTCCTTTTAAAACCACTTTTATCTCACAGAACGCAGTGCGGCAAGTATTTGTCTTACATCTGCTTAATCAGTGTCAAACCTCAAAAATCCCACCTAACTAGGAAAAAATCTGCTAGAATTATGTTCCATTTAGGAAAAAAATATCGTTCTGTTCCCTTTCAAGTCCTTCTCTTCCCTTCTTTTGCTCAAGGCGTGGTGTCAAATGTCTGCTAGTAGAAGCCTCAGGACTTAGAGTGAAGAAGAATGATGTACAAATAGTTTACACTTTGAGGAAATATGATGCCTCTAAATTTTTTGGAGATTTTTTCCCCTGTTGACTCAGGCTGCAGACATTGGGTCCTTTACTTTTCAGGATCGGATTTGATGTGTGGTGTAAGCTAGCAATAAACTTGAAGATTTTAGTAGTCTTCACGTTTAAACCTAACACATCAGCTATTCTAAAAAAATCTCTTTTTCTATGTGTCTTAGGAATCTCTATTTTCCTCAGATATTAGGCCATACTTTTGATATACTGTGCTTCAGATATGCTGTACCTCTAATTTGAGGAAAAGAGAAATGTTTTGAAGTTTGATTTTTACAACAATGGGTTTTACCTTCATTCCACTATCTGAATAATTTGGAAGTTGTTGCGACCTTACAAGTCAATGCATCTCCAAACCTAAATATATATGTTAGTGTCGAGGACTATGTGTTTAAGGCTGGCTCTATCCACAGAAGCTAACACAAAAAGGATTTTATTTATTGTAAAATGTTCTGGAAATACTAGTTATGAAGATCTGAGTATATACAGTCATATGGAAATATTTCTATTGGAATAGAAATATCAGGCAAACTATCTGGTTTAAACTTTAAACTTCTAATTCAAGTTGCCATTTGTTTCTAATTGGTAAAGTTGTATAATAAATACTCTGTCTGCTCTTTAATAACTGAGCCATTGATGGGGCATTTAATAACGATCACATGATAAACATTGGGCTCTCTTAATAACCTTGACTCGTCCTTTTTTCATCTGTTTGTATCTGGTGTTAGAATGATATGTGTCCTCCGTCAGACCATGAACTCCCTAGAGACAAAGGTTGATTTTATTCATTTCTGTATTTCTTATAGAAATTTACACAGGGTTTTATAGGCAATGGGCATGCCATTAATGCTGGTTAAATGAATGAATGGATGGATACTGTTGTCCCTTCTAGCCCTGATACTTTGGCTCAGGATCCAGAGACGATGGAAAGTGGGCTTCTGAGACTATTACTACAAGTGACTCCAGCATCCCACGTGACCCAGAGCAGATCTCTGAAGAAACCTGCCTTCCCATTCTCTCCATCCTTGCTGGGTTACTGAAGGAAAGGAGGGGCTAAGGACACATTTCCATGTTGGAGGCACTTATGAACAGATTATGTGTAAAAACTCTCATTGGTTCTCTATCTGGGCATCACATGCCCCCCCCCCCCCACCATATTGAATAAATCTGTGGGTGAAGAAAAATTGAATGAATCTTAACATCTTCTCAGATTCTGAATATTTATTCACCACTGTATTTTATATCAGCCAGACTCTTTTTTTTGGCCAAGTGTCTAAATTTCTGTGCACTCACTGTCTGGACGCACTCCTTCTTAATATTTAAACAAAGGCTGAGATAGGCATACATGCAGACACAGTATTAACAGGAGAAAACTAGGGGCCATTTACAACTGGCACTTGTCCAGGAGACAGACACAGTCATGCCAGTGACAAGAGGAAATGCAGTCTTCTCTGCTTTAAACTCTGAGTGCATAATGAAAAGGGAATTGAGGAACTGGGCATTGCCAAGGCAGAGAACCAGATAAGGTGGCCGTGGTGGGACCATTCTCAGCCTTGCCCCTGCCGTGCACCTCATAAACTGAGAACTCGGGGTAGAATTTCCCAACCAGTAACTGGAAGAGAAGTGGATTTTATAGCAAATTGAGGCAGGCTGACAGGCTCCAATAAACAGAACATAGGTCTTCTCTGTAATCTGGATAGGAAGTCTCTGTCTGCCTCCCCATATCTCATCTTTAGCTCAGATCCTCTTCTAGTACGTCAGAAGTTGACCCAGACTACGTAGAAAATAATAATGATAAAATTAATGGATAGGTCACATTTATTTGAACACTTACCAGGTGTCAGCAAGAGTGCTAAGTGTTTTATAAATATGATCTCATTTCATCTTCTGAAAAAGTCCGTTGTATTTATTTTGATTTCACAGATAATAAAGCTAAAACTCAGAGAGGTTAAGGGATTTTCCTAACATCTCACAGCTAGTAAGGGGCAGGGCCAGGGCTTTGACTTAAGTTTAGTTGAATCTGATAACAATGCTTTCTCTTCACAGTCCTTCCATCCTCCACTCCCAACTCTAGACCAGACCACTCCCCCGGAATCCCACTGTGCCCTCCACAGATGGTTAGCATAGCTCATCCGACAATGTAATATACTGCCTTGCTTTAGATGTCTGTCATTCCACTGTGCTATGAATTCCCTGAAGGCAGGAGTCCGTTCATCTCTGGGTCCCCAATGCCTAGCATGGTGTCTGACACAAAGCAAGAACACAGGAAATGTTTGATGAATGAATGAATAAGTAAATGAAGCAAATATTTGGTAAAGAGCTGCTTTGTCAAAGACCCTTTATTGTTACTTTACTGGCGATCTCCGCCCTGTATGGAAAATCATGTCACATCGTAGATTTGAATTTGTTGTTGGCTGTAGACGCCAAATCAGTTTTCTCAGTAAAACCATCAAAAAATAAAAGTATCAGCAGAAGGAAATAAAAGATTCTCTTCAGGAGTAGGGGATGGAAAAAGAGGCTACAAGTTCAAGGTTGGGATCTTGAAGAACAGGTACTCAGTCTGCTAGGGTCAAACTCAAAAAGGCTTGCCTCTCTTGCATTTCAGAGTCCAGAGTGAGCTATTTCAATGCAAACTAACTCCATCTCAGAGTATAAGGCAGCTGCCCACTGGCTGGCTTAGGGCTGCTTCCAAATCTAGGCCTCTTCGTCTCTGAGAGAGTATCAGACAACAGATCTGGTCCCTGAGCGATCTCAGAAATACAACCATCACTCTGCGGAGCACACTGGAGGAAAGCTATACTCCTCTGGAATCAACAGATGCCATCTAAGTTTTCAAACACTGAGCTCAGAGGAAGGAGCAGACAGCTCCAGGCTGACTCCATGGAACTCCAGCATAAACCACACACACGAGGATTCACACACACCTGAACCCAGCCACACTGGTTAAGGGTTCTCACCAGATCCTTAGCGAGGGGCCACTGGGGACTGAGGTCAGTAGGTGTGCATGTCCTTCGGCCTCTGTCATCTGTAAGGACCAGGGTAAACTCTGTCAAGTCCTCATGCCACAGTGTGGTCCCAATTATCCTCAACTGATCTTTGAACAAAAGAGCTAAAAGCTTTTCCAGATATGGACTAGATCGTGTTCATCAGTTATTGGAGGGGCCAAATCAGATCGGCAGGCCTTTTTGCAGGACGATTCTTGAATGTCTTGCATATTGATCAAAACCTTGGGAACATACAGAGCTTGTTGTTTTTTTTCCAGAGATCTAAGAGGTCTGGTGTTTCAGGAGCAGGGGGCTTGTGCAGAAACAGTGGGGGATGGGGCTGCAGAGAGAGACATACAAAGGTTGAGCCTCCCCAGTCAAGTCATTCATTTCCATGGAAAGGCTACTGTATATTTGCCTTGTTTGCTGGCCGATGTTTGAAATCCTCCATTGAAGCTCGGTATTCTGATCTCTTTTTATAAAGAAAATTTCCTACATGGGCATGTAATGTTACAGAGGGAGCCTCCTTTTCTGCTATGGAATGCTATAAAAGTGCAAATTTCTATGATAGTCTTAGTCACTGACAGGTAGAGATTGATTTTAGGGAAGATGATGCGCTTTTAGAGCAAATCGCTAAGAAAGTCTGTGATTTGAGTGCAGCCAGGGATGGGAAGAAGGAATCTGCTGGTTCTTCTTTCTGGGGGAATACAGATTTAGTCGTCATTCTTCTCCGTCCACTCCCCCTCCTCCTGCCCCTCTCCACACACATGCACACACACTGTGCTGCACACTCAGGCCCAAGCCTGGTGCAGACATCATTTCCCCGTGTCCAACCCAGAGGTTTCCCACAGCTGGAGTGGAGAGCACCTGTGTGCTTCTGCTTTGTGTCTGCCGCACTCACTCACAGGCAGGCCTGGTTACCATCTGCATAGGTAAGACCCCGGCCTGGCCTCTAAGCACCAGCCCAGCTCCTGCAGGCACAGAGTAAACCCCGACATAAAGCAGGCATCCTGCCACACCTGAGAGGGCCTGCTTCGTGTCCCTCCTTCTTTCACACAAAGAAACTTCTTTATGCCTCCCCCTCTCTCTTGATATTCACATCTCTTTGATTTCAGTAACCGAGTCATTCTAGGAGCTGGAGGGATGAACAGAGGAGGACTCAAAACTAAGTGGCTCTGTCACTGACTCCATCCATTCATTCATTCATTCATTCATTCATTCTAGAAGCTGCTGTGTGCCAGGCTCTGTAGAGACAAACCTGCATGGAACTTCACCACTGCGCTTGACGACCTGAGTCTAGTGAAGGAGACAAACTTAAACTCCTAATTGTAGCCCAGTGTGACAAGAAATCTTAGGTGAGTATGTGGAAAGGGCTTTGCAGGCACAAAAGAGAAAGGTACAAAGTTCACCTGACAGAGTTTGGGAAGGCTTTACAGAGGACATCATATCTGAGTCGGGCATTGGAGAATGCATAGGAGTTTGCTAGCCAGACAAGTGGAAAAAGGTATAAAGTCACAGGTAAGAAAGTAAAGTTGTTTTAGAAACAGAAATTTGGGGGATGAAAAGCAAGAGTAAAGGATTCCACAGTGGAATTAAATTAAAAATCAATGATGAAAAGACAGGAAAATCTCCAAATATTTGGAAATTAAATAACACGTTTATAGGTAATGTGAATTAAGGAAGCATTCAAAAGGGAAAAGGAAGTGTTCTGAATTAAACAAAAATGTATGTACAACTTATTAAAATTTGTGAGAGGCTATGTAAGCAGCAATTGGGGGAAATTTACAGCATTAAGTGCCTATGTCAAAATAGAAGAAGGGTCTCACATGAATGACCTCAATTTCCAAGCTAAGAAGCTAGAAAAAGAAGAAGAAATGAAACAAAGTAAGTAGAACAAAGGAAATAGTAAAGATCAGAGCAGAAGAAAATGAAATTAGTATCAGAAAAACAGTTGGGGAAATCAATGAGACCTGAAACAGATTCTTTGAGAATAATATTGAGATCAGTCAACCTCTAGTCAGACTGGCGAGGGAGAAAAAAAGAGAAGACTCAAAGTACAACTTTATGGGATGAGAAAGGTGTCATTCACGAGAGATTCTGCAGATACTAAAAAGATAATTAGGGAATGATGTTAGCATGTTTATGTCAATAAAGACACAAACTACCAGCTCACTCAATAAAGATTACATTACCTAAATAGCCCTATATCTATTTAAAAAATTGAATTTATAGTTAAAAACCTTCTCTCAGAAAAAGCTCCAGGACAAGTTGATTTCACTGGTGAATTCTACCAAATATTTAAGAAAGAAATATTGCCAATTCTGTATATTCTCTTCCAGAATATTGAAAAGGAGATAATACTACCAAACTCATTCTATGAGGTCAGCTTTATCTTACTATCATAGCTAGACAAAGAAGTTACAAGAAAACCACTGATCAATATATATTGAATATATGTGTGAAAATTCTCCACAAAAATGCAGTATATTGAATACATCATGACTAAATTAATTTATCCAAGAAATTTAAGCTTGGCTTAACATTAAAAAATCAATGTAATTCTGGGGCTGGCCCCATGGCCGAGTGGTTAAGTTCGCGCGCTCCGCTGCAGGCGGCCCAGTGTTCAGCTGGTTCGAGTCCTGGGCGTCGACATGGCACTGCTCATCAAACCACGCTGAGGCGGCGTCCCACATGCCACAACTAGAAGGACCCACAACAAAGAATATACAACTATGTACTGGGGGGCTTTGGGGAGAAAAAGGAAACAAATAAAATCTTAAAAAAAAAAATCAATGTAATTCACCATATTAACAAACTAAAAAGGAAAAGAAATATGATGACCTCAACAAAAATGGAAAAAGCATTAAAAAAAACAGAAAACAACATCCATTCCTGATAAAAACTTTCTCAGTAAACAAGGAATAGAAGGGAACTTCTTCGGTTTGATAAAGGACACTAATGAAAAACCTACAGCTGACATCATACTTACTGGAGAAAGACTCAGGAACAAGACAAGGATGACTGCTCTAGCCACTTCTATTAAAGTCTGTACTAGAGATTCTAGCCAGTGCAAGAAAGTGTAAATAAGTGTCATCCAGATTAGAAAGGAAAAAGCAATTCTGTCGTTATTCTCAGATGACATGATCTTCTATATAGAAAATTTGATATAATCTATTAAAAAGCTCGAAGAACTATCTGAGTTTATTAAGGTTATGGAAAAAGAGTTCAATATACAAAAATCAATTGTATTTCTACATACTAGCAGCAAACAATCAGAAATTTAAAGAAAATGCAATACCATTTATAAGAGCATAAACATATGAAATGCGTAGGGATAAATCTGCCAAAAGATGTGCAAGATGATACCCTGAAAACTACAAAACACTGCTGAGAGAAAGTAAAGAAGACCTGAATAGGTGGAGAGAAATATCTGTTCATGGGTCAGAAGACTTAACATTGTTGCTATCAATTATCTGTACATTGATCTACTGATTTAATGCAATCTCAACATAAGAAACAGAAGGTGTTTTTGTAGAAATTGACAAGCTGATTCTAAAATTTATATGATGATGCAAAAAGACTTCAAATAGCCAAAACAGGTTTTAAGAAAGAACAAAGTTGGAGGGTGAAAGCATTTGTGTAAAAAAGTTATGGAGATATTTGTTAATCCCATAGCACGAAGAGTCTTGAATTATATTTTAATCTTTTAAAAATAAAGAATCCACACAAAAACTTGCACATAAATATTTATAACAGCTTTATTCAAAAGTATTGAAACTTGGAAGCAAGCAAGATGTCCTTTAGTAGGTGAATGGATAAACCAACTAGGGTACATCTATACAACAAAATATTATTTAATGATGAGAAGAGATTAGCTATCAAGCCACTAAAATACATGGAGGAAACTTAAATGCATATTATTAACTGAACAAAACCAGTCTGAAAAACCCATGTACTGTATGGTTCCAACTATATGATGTTCTGGAAAAGGCAACACTATAGAGACAGCCAAAAGTTCAGTAGCTGTAAAGGGTTTTGGGAGAAGGAGAGGTTGGAATGAACAGGTAGAGAGCACAGGTGATTTTAGAGCAGTGAAACTATCCTCTGTGACACTGTCATGGTGGACACATGACATTATCCATTTGTCAAAATGCCAGAAACTGTACAACACAAAGAGTGAGCCCCAATGTAAACTATGGACTTCAGTTAGTAATAATGAGTCAATATTTAATCATAATTGGAACAAATGTACCATACCAATGCAAGATGTTGATGGGGGAAACTGGGAGGTGCGTGGAGAGGGTATATGGAAGTTTTTGGTACTTTCTACTTAATTTTTCTGTGTCCTACAACTCCAAAAAATAAAGTCTATTTTTGAAAAATAGAGAATCATTGCTTTCAGCAGCAGAGGTATTTTAATCGGAGCTGTGATAAATTCAGGTTTTTCTGGAAAGGCTGGAAGGGGAGACCAAAAGCAAGCACAACAATTAGGAGATTATTGCAATAGTCTAGGGCCTGAGTAGGATAGTGGCAGCCAGAATGGAGAGAAAGAAAGAATAATGTGAGAAGGCTCTGAAGAAAGAATTGAGAGCCCACTGATGGTTTAGCTGTGACAGTGAAGGGAGAAGTCAGAATACATTGTGTTTGAAAGAACGCTTGATTAGAGTGGAGAGAGTTCTGATGTAGTCTTGGCTCTGACCCTGACACATTGTGTGAGCTCTGGCAAGTGACTTGGTATTTCTGGACCTCGGTGACCACAGGAATGCCCAGGAGGCATTACTGTGATTATAAGATCAAACAGTCTGGAAGTGTCCTGTCCAATATATTAGCCATTAAACTCATGTGGCTATTACACATGGGAAGTGTGGCTAGCCCAAATTGAGATACGCTGTATGTGTAACTTAGTACAAAAAAGAGTTAGAAAAAAAAGAACGTAAAATATCACAACAATTTTTATACTGATTACATATTTGAATTTCACTTATTTCATTTTACATTTTTCATGTGGCTGCTAGAAAATTTAAAGTTACATATGTGGCTCATGAGTGTGGCTCACATTATATATCTATTGGGCAGTGGTCTTGAGCTTTACTGGATGCTTTGTGTTCAGAACCATTTAAACTTGGCCTAGAGAATTGTCCCTGCTCACACAGAGCCATGCCCCCCTCCAGGATGCAAGTGAGGTGGAGCGAGGCAGAGGAGTCAGGCAAAATTCCCGTGAATGCAACCTAGGTCTGCCTAAGAGTCATTTTACTACCCACTTGAGGGTGTACCTGGGGAGATGCATCCCAGCAAAAACCTAACTTGGAATTCACCAGAATATCTAGATGAAAAGACCAGCACTCCTTCCCCCAGAGCAGAGATCATCCCTAATAGTTCCTCTCTTCCTCTGCCTTCAGGCCGTGATTAGTAATTTAAATCTGGGCCCATCCGGATGGCTGCATCTCCCCGTCTCACCCTTCCCTGTGACTTGGCAGCAAGAGAAAACTAAGAGTGGTGATCTCCATGTCCTCTTAATGCTAGACCGACATCAGTGTGGAAAGGAAACACTCCTCCCCAGGGAGAATTGAGCCTGAGCCCCAACTTGTTCCCACTGCTCCTCGGACTCTGACGTTCTTGTCTAAGCACTTCCACTGTGCAGTACCCAAAGCACATATGCCTGATAACTCTTACTTGCTCCACCACATTGTATGTCTATCTTGCCTGTATCCATTCCTTTTGGCCATTGTTACATTTTGTCAACAAAAATAATCCATAACCAATCTATAAATGAAAATTTGGGAGAGTTTATTCTGAGCTAAAATTTGAGGACCATGACCCAGGGCCTTTTTTCCCAAAGGAAGAAAGGGCACCAAAGAAGTGAGGTATACAGAGTGGTTATATACCCCCAAACAGGATGTTTCACACATGGAAAGCTCCCTCCCACAATAGTCACAAGATTGCCCTGTCGGCGCAGCGCTTGATGGACACAGCAGGTAGTGGGTCTGCTATCTCGGAGGGCATAGCAGGAGACAAGTCTATTGTCTCAAGCTGGGTGGTCACAGGTGAGTGCAGCAATCAGTTCCTAGCCTAAGGAAAGATGCTTAATCCTTAAGGAAATGCCAACGCTGGGAGGGGGAGGGAAGTTGCACCTTTATCTCAAGGGCCTTTGCTCTTGCCATAGGGAATATCTAAAGCAGATATACAATGCATGCTCAATGGCCTCGGTCAGGCCCTTTTGGAAAGACAAGGTCAGGCCGAATTAGGTTTACCAAGTGGCTTCCTCATATTCTCCAATATATCCTATTGCTTGCCATTTTTATTTGTCAATTGTCATATTCACCCTTGGCCTTCAGATAAAGGCCTGTGTACTGTC